GTTTTCTGTGAGGGGTAGGGTTAGGGGTGGGTTTAGGTTAAAAAGTGTATAACTATCTGTATATAAAAACAATCGAAGTCTATGTAATGTCCCCATTTAGATAGCTAAGTAAACGTGTGTGTGTGTGTGTGTGTGAAATAATATATCAGTCTGGCGAGTAAACAAAGCAATTTACTAGCCAATGGCGATTATATTGCCAAGGTGTGCGTAGAGGGTTGATATGTAAAAATATAAATAAATTAGATTTCTGAGTACTTATGTATTCATCATCTGAACAAATAAAACAAAAAAAATCTGGGCTATATTGTGTTTAACAATCAAAATGATGGAAATCTGTTTAAATTATCCATCAACACAATAATTCATGTCAATAAATGGTGTAAAATTGGTTTCATGCATTCAAGATGAACATGACTCTGTCACTTTTAAAACAAATGAATATTATCCAATAAACATAATATACCATATTAATGGCTGGTGATATTAATCAGCTTGTTTGAAAGGCAAAGCAAGTTATTAACCTGCACAGAAAAAAAATGATTCACAATTTTCACTCAAACTGCTAGCAAATTTCGCAAATAATTACAAAGAAATTTCAAGTACACAATGAAATTAAAATGAAATTTTGAAGTAGAAAAACAGAAACTGTATTTTCTTGTAAAACCAAATAATCTTTGTTTGCAACTTCGAAAATTAATTTTTTATAGTTTGCATTTAAAATAACGTGCACTTAACAGGTTGCATTAGTCTTTTTATTTTACTTATGCATTTTCCCAAAGCAAAACTAACTAGAGTCATCTCGTCTGCCCCTTCCATGTCTAACATCATCCGTTTGAGATTTCACCCAACTTGTTTGTCTTCATCAATTCAATTGCAGGCTGAGCAGGATGGCAAAGGTATGCATGCATGCAGGTTTACAAATAAGAGCAGAGGGATTGTAGTCTTAATTTAACCACATACATTCCGCTAAACCTCATCCCTCTGCCAGCATCACATTTTTGCTACTCTCTTTTTGACTTTCTCCTGCTTTTCATCAGTCTTGCCTTGTAGCCGTCTCTCTTCCCAGCTCCCAACACTGTCTGTTTCTCTCTTTGATATCTGATTGGCGATTCAGATGTGGGCTTGGTTGTTTGCGTTCGTCAGGGTAGAGAAAGTGAAGGCAGAGAAACCGAGATGAGTATACATGTGTCAACCAGCGGTTGCTTGGTCTCCCCAAACTGACCCACATTTCTGGTGTCTCGTGGGGGAAGAGCACTTATCTCTCTCTGCACACTTTTAACAGATGAGCCTCTGCTGAAACACGCTGACAGGAATAGAGCGCTCTCGCAGTTCACTTGTTTTCAGACACACATTCCCAGTATTTATGAAGGTCGGGTACTTACGGAAGAAGTCTTTCTTCACCAGGTTCTTTGCGCACAGAACTGCAGAGAGAAAAGTACAAACAAAAAAGCATTGTTACTTGGACGTTTTGGAACAAAATAGATATTTGTCAAACAAGTAAACCATAACAGTGATTTATGTTTTAAAATACAGTTTTGAGTTTTTTTAATCTTCAATTTTTATTGTTTTCCAGTCAAAATCTCAATATTCTTAAAAAAGGATTTATTTAAACTAAATGGCTAATTCATTTTCCCCCCACAGAATATATATCTTGAATAAAGCTATTATTCTTTAATATTTTTTTTTATAATTATTTCACACCCCCTTGACAAACTTTTTTTTATTTAGCTAATAAAAAAACATTTATTATTTATATATACTTAAAACAAGACAGCAATTTACATTTGGGATAGGAGCAATTAACCTAATTCAAGACTTATTCTCTGAAAACAAATACTAACTTAACATCTAACGAAACATACAATTTTGCTTATGTATATTAAAGAAAATGACTAATTAAATGATTTTCTGCAGTGCACAAAATAAGTTCAGGGGGATTTAGGTCTCATAACGGCTAACAGGCACAGTGATGCATAGATATGTTTTTAATTTCCGAGTTCTGTATTTTTAGGATCTCAGCATCAGAGAAAATGTTTAAATCCATAGCATGGCTCTTAAGGCACTCAGCAGTCCCAGATCAAGCTCACGATGTATTAGAGATGCAAAGTAAAAAAAAAATTAAAAAAAACACCCTCTGATCCACATCCAATCCCACCGCTGGCCTACATTCAGCTTAATAACTCAGAGTTTAAAAAAAGAGAGAAAAAAAAACCTAAACTTCTGACTTCAAACTGGCCTGAGCTGTCAGTTAACACAAGAAATTTCAGTTTAAAGCTTCCCATGCAATACCACAGGCAACTCAAAGGAGATATTTATTCTTCCTTTGACATCTGTGAGAATGTCAAGAGGTCAGGGAACATTCACGGATAACAACAAAGCTGAAAAGCTTTCACAGTCAAAATGATCAACTTTTGAGGTTCATAACATGGACTAAGGGCGAGAAACGCCCCGTTTGTTTAGAAAAAATACTGATTATTGTGTTTTAAAAGTCTCAGACACAATACTGGGAGCACTTGTAGACAATCACAATGAGAAATGAGACTGAGAGAGCAAGAAACGTCTGAAGAGGACAAATGGAAATGGAAGATGGAAGTAGGGATGTTGAGCCGACAACCAACAGATGGCCTAAATGAAAATGATTATTATTCTTTTCCAAATTAATTGAAGATAAAACATTAAAAAGTAATGTCAATCAATTTAAATGATAAAAGTGAATTTAGGTATAATGAATAATATATATATATATATATATATATATATAAAAGATAAAGATTACATTTAACAGTGTCAAAAATCAACAGATATATATGCAATATTGATCAATAAATAAAAAAACCACTAGTACAAAACAAAAGAGATTGAGTGTGTTACACAGAGAAAGAAAAAAGAAAACGAGGGCAGACAGGCATTTGAGGGAGAGAGACGAAAAACTAAAAAGGGAGGACTGACTGCACCAGAAAATGTGACAGCAGGAATGAAGGGCGACTAGAGCAGGAGGACAACATTTG